GTCCACTCATCTTAAAGTGGCCAAGTTTGGACAACACTGAACTAGATGGAAGGAGTTGCCAATAGAAAAGCCATTGCATTGGGCTGCCACAGGAGTTTTGGAAGATGCTAGTTCACTCCAGACATTTTACCTAGCGCGCTCCCAAATTAGTCCCCTGTGGTGTGCGACGAAGAAGACCGTCCAAAAAGGTGCAGGTGCAAGTCTGAAAAGCAAGTCCTCTTTTAGAGTGATTAAAATATCCAAACCCATTTCAAGGGCAGTTCCAGCTGTATTGTTCCATCAGAAGTTGCTAGAACGTGGACCTTCCTGGTCACACCAAATAAGAAACAAATATAAATGAATGATTTCTAGCTGGCCATGCCAATATCTCCAGTTGCTGGGGCAACATTTTACAGCAGGAACAGCACATCATACATGACGTTTTTTTTTTTGGAGTATTTCAAGAGAATTTCCTCTGTGTATGGAATAGAGAAGTTGGTTGAAATACTTCCTCACTCAGGTCCAAGATTGAGAAACAGCTAGATGGAGGAGTGAGTGAGATTTGGTATCATTTTAAAAAAAATTGAATGTAGTGCTTTAATACAACAAAAGAAACCTGAAATACAATAAGAAAAAATGAAATAAAAACCAGCAAACAGTCCTATATATTTAGAAGATAATACAATTCAATTTTGGTCAAGTCAGCCTCGCGTATCTGGTGTACAACAGCCCTTCCAAGGACACATAACTCTTCGCAGCAGTCTAGGTATAATAGATCCAAAGTTCTTCCTCAATAGAGAAATTCCAAATTTTAGGAATAATGTTCAACAGTTAGTAAAATAACACTTAACTGCTGAACGTATAGTTCAACAATATAGTAACAAATATTATTTGGATAGGCCAGCTGGTTGTACCATATTGGTTTAAGATTCTCAGTGTTGTTAATAAAGTTTAATTTTATTATGAATAATGTATTTATTCTTAAAATAAAATACATTACATAATACATTCAATATCCTAAGCTTCTTCCCGCAGAAATGGCCTTAGATTCACATGAGCTCATCTTTGGACCTCCGAATGCCTTGGAATGCATTTTGCAGAGGCATCAATACAGGAAGCAGTTGGGGGTGGGGGAGACAAATGACAACCCAGTGTTGTGACACAAGCTCTGCTGCTGTTGCACAAGTGTTGTGATATTGCATGCACATACAAAAGAGATGGAGCTGTTCCACTGCTTAGTAGTTCTCACTGTCAGGAAATTCCTCCTTATTTCCAGGTTGGTTCTCCCTCTGACCAGCTTCCATCCACTGCTTCTTGTCCTACCCTCTGGGGCTATGGAGAATAAATTGACACCATCTTCCCTGTGGCAGCCCTTCAAGTATTGGAAGACTGCTGTCATGTCTCCCCTCAGTCTTCTCTTTGTTAAGCTAAACATATCTAGTTCCTTCAGCTGTTCTTCATAGCATTTAGCCTCCAGACCCTTACCATCGTAGTTGCTCTTCTCTGTACTTTTTCTAGGGCCTCAGCATCTTTTTTGTATTGTGGGGACCAGAACTGGACGCAGTATGCCCAATATGGCCTCACCAGTGTGGTGTAGAGCGGTACTATCACTCCCCTTGATCTTGAGACTCCATTGGCTTTTTTGGCAGCTGCCTCAGTAGGGGGATGGTATCTTTCCCTCTTATTCTTTCTCTGCTTAATCTATTTCGTAGGATTTTTGTTGTAAGGAAAAACAGGAGGCAGAGATGCTGTGCATACTACCTGGAGCTCCTGAATGAAAGACAGGAAATCAATTTAATAAAGATCGAATCGATGTATATTTGTTGCACAATGCTGGATGGCCACCTGAAGATAACTTTTATTTCACAGTACTTGTATTATTATTCTTACAGTGTCCTGCACCCAGGATCTCGTGGTCTTTCAGCCCAGGTCTGCTCAAGGCGTTGAAGGTGGCTCCATTATCTTAAATTGTTCCTTCGACTTCAAATCCAAACCCAAGGTTGGCAGCTATTGGTGGCTTAAAGATCAAAAGGTGGAGATCCAAAACACCACTGGGGAGTTTAGGGGCAGAGTGAAGCTTACCACAGACCTGGATTTCATACTGAAGAAAAGAGCCGATATAGAGATACGAGATTTGAAGCATTATGACTCAGGAGTCTATCAATGCGTGGTGAACATCCCTGGACTTCTTGACACGTTTGGGAATGGGACGGAGCTTCAAGTCATTAAAGTACAACCCCAACCAGGTAAACAGATTTCTTCCATTGAAAGATGAAGGTTTGATTACCTTGCATGGCACCCACATGAACCACAAAGTTATCAATAGGGTGGGAATATATATTTTTTTCCTCCTTGCTGTTTCTCCTCTGCTTTAATCTCCAGGTTGGGTTGAAAATATTATTAGATGAAAATGTTTATATATCACGGCAAGCATTGCGTTTGCCTTCTACGTATCAAGCACTTTCAGCCTGATTGTGTTCTATTTTAGCTCAGGGCTGTTGGATACATCATCCCTGTCCACCAAATTGTTTCCAAATGGTGCAGAAAGATCGCCTGGTGTCCTTTCCAGGTGTTCTGCTGCCATTATGTACATAAAAGGGTTGAGGCTGGAATAATCAAATTGTTCCCTTTGGGATTGTCCATGCTAATTACTCACAGTATGGTTTCCAGTGGCTCAGGAAAATTCTGTGCCTTTTGATATACAGCAATAGGTATATAGCTAATTTAGATTTTCATGTATTTACTGATTACATTTATATTACATTTTGGTATCATGTCATTTGCCCATTTTATCTCTTCCCTGTTCATGTCTGTCTCTCCCTGGTTTTGCCAGTGAACTGGTTTTGATGCTGATGTTTAATAAATAATCATCAAGCTTTTTTTTTTTTTTTTTGCTAGCTGAATTGAGTGGCCTTTATACTTGCTCTGATCAGATAGACTGGGAGCATGCAAACAAAACTGGAAATTATCCCCTATAATTTTCCATCAAGGGTCGGTGGGAGCAGCAAAAGTATGATTTTAAGACTGTACATTTTGAAAATGATTCAGCAGAAGCGCTCCCGAATGTGGTGAGCACAGCACCTTTCTCATTAAAGCAGCTATATCGTTTTTTCAGGTTTCTATATAGCCTTAAAAATCTGAATAAGCTTTCTTTCTAACATTCATACATTTGTCAGTAAATGGTTGAAGAGCAAAACCCAGTACACAGTGGCCTGCCCGGCATCAAACCGCACTACACTTCCCAAATTTTGCTTTTTCGTCATTTCTTCTACCCGTCAGAAATCTGCCAACTCCGTTCCCAGGCACCCTGAAACAAATCCCCCTATAGTTTTTGCATCAGCTCTTTCTACCTTTCCCTTAAAAACCACATTAAGCTTAAAGTTTTTTAAAAAAATCTTTAAAAGACTAGGGACTTTGAAGTTGTTTATTTCCCTCTATATAATTAATTATAATTATTGTATTTTTATCCCCTCTTTATATTTGGTCAACTCAAGGCAGCAAACATACTTAATATTCCTGCCTCCTATTTTCCAATTTATTATAATGTAGTGTGTGTGTGTGTGTGCGCATATATAAAATACATTATATATAATTATCATACAATTTATTATAGTTTATTGATATTATGATAAAACAATACAAATGTTTACAGCTTTGCAGAACATTCTAATGCATTATCATGCTAAATAATGCAAATTACACATTAGAATAATAAACACAGTATACAAATACAGTACGCACACACCTATTTATTTATTTATGATTCTAATTGATCACAAGGTTATACAAAGCCGTGCGTTTTCTTTTTGGGACCCCCTTTCTCTTTTTGAAAGACCCTGAAGGGGCCACCCGAAGGTTGCAAACCAGAAAGGGAGGTCTGAAAAAAAACCCCTCGGTTTCGTCCAGCAGCGTTTGGGTCCCTCTTGACGGATTCTCTCTTTGGTTTTCTGCAGTGCCTAAAGCTCCTTCCTTAGAAAACTCCTTGGTGCTGGTTTGGCTTCTCCTGCGTGGCATCCTTTGTGCCTTTGGGATGATCAGCCTTGTTCTGGCGACACGTTTCTATTACGAGAAGACAAGTAAGTGTGCTTTCATTTTCGAGGGGAACAGAACCCACTTGACAAATCAAGAAACAAGCAAGAGCTTCTGCAGCAGTGGGGGCAATTCTGCATCTCTCGTCTGAAAAGCAAGCGTTCCAGATGTGTTGGCCCTGCACGTGCCAGAATTCCCAGCCAGCAGGGGTGTTCCAGTCCCCCATGGAGCTGGAGCACGCCAAGTGCGGGACGGCTATGCTACCAGAATTCAAATCCAACATTAGAGAGAGTCCATTTTTAAAATGTGTTTCTTATTTTTGTGAATCTGTTTACATTCGGGGTTTAGTTTTAAGGGGTTTTTTTTTTTTTTTGAAGTTTTTCATTTTGGGGAATATGTCTAGTTTGTCAGTTACGGGATTTATTTGTAAAAGTTCACATTTTTTGATTGTTTTTTTTTTGTGCTTACGTTTTGGTGTTCATCTCTGTGCATTTTGCTAAATATAGACCAAGGTTTCGCAAAGTTTTTCTTAATATAATACATGCTAGGGGCGTGGGTGTGGGTGGGTGTGGGTACTTTGGAAGGAAATGTACTTTGAACTGGTAAACTCTACTACAAAATTTAGAAAAGTGCCTGTTTTGAATGATAGCTAAGTTTCCATTCTTGCACTGATTACATTATGGTAAATTAAGTAAAGAGGCATTCAGAAATGAAAGAAACAAATCTTCTCCACACCGTGACACTAGGCAGAATGTTGGATCTGTTGGCTGCAAGGATGTGTGCAGCACACATAAAAAACAGGTGGAACCATCACACCCGCCATCTTGACTTTTTTGACCACGCTGTGCAGACACCTCTGATTGGCCGCTTTCTCATCAGTTTATGCCGTTGTTGGCCCGCCTGTCTCTCCCCACTATAAGCACCCACCAGGGAGGGGGGAAAAAAAACGATTGTCAAAAGTTTGCAAGGGGAAAGAGCAATGGTAATTGTTGCAGCAATTCTCTTCAAAGGAAAAAAGAAAATATTTTATTTTTGCACTCAAGTCAAACAAATTTATTATCAGATAAACTTCCCTGGATCTCAGTCCACTTCATCGGTTTCATGGTTTGATGTTCCAAAGGAGAGATTCTTGAATTCATTCCTTTTCTGTTTTTGCCCGATTGTTGTCATAAACTAACCAACAATCTGCAAAGCACCAAACCACAAACCACAGACACATTCTTTGCCCTTGGTCCAGTCCTGTAAGGCTACCGAACTACCTGGATTTCTAGAATGAATTTTATTGCTAGCAAGGTAATGTAACAGACTCTTGAAACAGACAGGCAGAAGGCTGGCAGAGCGCATCCATGAACACCAACGAGCAGTCAGAAGACACGATGAAAACTCCTTAATCTCACCACACATGGACAAACATAACCATCTTTTCAACTGGGAAACTGTCAGCATCTTAGACCAAGCTAAATCCAAACATGTGAGGGAATTCTTGGAAGCTTGGTATTCAGACAAGGCAGCCTTCAACAGGCACATAGAGATAA